AATGTATTATATACATGGATTGGAAGACTGAAAATAGTTAAGGTGTCAAATCTTCCCAAAACGGTCTTCAGATTTAATGCAATTCCAAGCAAGACCCCAGAAGGATTATTTTGCGGATATAGACAATCTAATTTTAAAATTTATATAGACAGGCAAAAGAATTAGAAAAGTCAGTTTTGAAAAAGAAGAAAATTGGAGGAATCACATTTCTCAACTCTATGACTTACTGTAAAGACAACAGTAATAAATCACATCAGTGTATATCAGCAAAGGGATTAGCACATAAATCAATGGAAGAGAACAGAGTCTAGAATTAGACCCACATAAATACAGCCACGTTAATTTCTGACAATGGCAAAACTGCAGTTCAATGGAACAAAGACAGTCTTTTCCAGAAACCAGTGTTAGAATAATTGGACGTCCATATGCAGTAAAGGGACCTTATCGTGAGGCTTTATTAAAAAATTAACTGCAAGACTGAAATCCGTGGTTAGGAGAATGTTCCTCACTGTGGGAAAATACCTGCCACATATCCGTTAAAGAACTTTCTCCAGAATACATAAAGAACCCTCAACTTCAATAGTCAGAAAACTCTAAAAATTAGGAAAATACTCTGAGCAGACACTTCCCTAAAGAGGATCTACAGACAGCAAATAAGCACATAAAAACATGCTTGACATCACGAGATATTAGGGACATGCAAACTAAGGCCTTGTGCGTGGTCTACAAGCCTTGCAGGCCTCTTCACAGCAAGGTCATCTCAGACTGTAAACTCCAGGAGGGCAGGGGACTTGTTCCTTCTACAATGGCTGAAATACAGGAATCCTTACCACAGCAGGTCTGAGCAGAGATGCAGAGCCCCCAGAACTCTCGGCACTGCTGGCAGAGATGGGAAATGGTGCAGCCACCTCGGGAGGCAATTTGGGCAGTTCCTTATAAAGTTACTGGAGAAGGAAAAGGCTACCCACTCCAGTACTCTGGCCTGGAGACAATTCCATGGACCGTATAGTCATGGAGTCGCAAAGAGTCGGACACAACTGAGTGACTTTCACTTCACTTTATAAAGTTAAGCAATCCCAATCCTAGGTATGACTTTCCTAGAGAAATAAAAATGCACATTCACACAAAATCCTGGACATGACTGTTCACAGCAGGTCTATTCATATTCACCCCAAACTGGAAAACAACTCAGATCTTCTTCCACAGGTGCACAGATAAGCAGCGATATATCCACACAGTGGAATATGGCTCAGTAATATACAGGAATAAGTTACTAGGCTTCCTGGCGACTCAGCGGTGAGAAACCCGCCTGGGATTCCCAGGAACTGCAGCTGCTGAGCCCAAGTCTGAGTGCCCTGGAGCCCATGCTCCACAGCAAGACCAGCCATTGCATCTCACGGCCACTGAGAAGTTCATGACACCCACTAGACATAGCCCCCGATCCCCGAAACTAGAGAAGAGCCCATGCAGCAATGAAGACCCAACACAGCCAAAAATAAATAAATAAATAAATGATTAAAAATGTAAATAAAATAAACGCCAGCCTGAAATATGAGCCAAGATGGCTCATCCATTCAGTCCCCATGAGGTTGAACACCAACAACAAAAAGAATAAATTACTGATACAAGCAACTACTTGTATGAACCTCAAAAGCATTATGTTGCATGGGAGAAGCTAGTCTCAAAAATCCATGGTTCCACTCCTATGACCGTCTCAAAAGGATCAGTTCAGTTCAGTTCAGTCTCTCAGTTGTGTCCAACTCTTTGCGACCCCATGAACCTCAGCACACCAGGACTCCCTGTCCATTACCAGCTCCCAAAGTCCACCCAAACCCATGTCCATTGAGTCGGTGATGCCATCCAGCCATCTCATCCTCTATCGTCCCCTTCTCCTCCTGCCCTCAATCTTTCCCAGCATCAGGGTCTTTTCAAATGAGTCAGCTCATCTCATCAGGTGGCCAAAGTATTGGCATTTCAGCTTTAACATCAGTCCTTCCAATGAATACCCAGGACTGATCTCCTTTAGGATGGACTGGTTGGATCTCCTTGCAGTCCAAGGGACTCTCAGGAGTCTTCTCCAACACAGTTCAAAAGTATCAATTCTTCGGTGCTCAGCTTTCTTTATAGTCCAACTTTCACATCCTTATATGATCACTGGAAAAACCATAGCCTTGACTAGATGGACCTTTGTTGGCAACGTAACGTCTCTGCTTTTTAATATGCTGTCTAGGTTGGTCATAACTTTCCTTCCAAGGAGCAAGTGTCTTTTAATTTCATGGCTGCAGTCACCATCTGCAGTGATTTTGGAGCAAAAGGATAAAGTTCAACAATTCCCAGGGGAGGTGGGAGGGGAAGCGCAGCATGAGGGGTTTTTGCATGGTGGAACTATTCCACATACACAGTTACATGACTCCACACACTTGTGAAAATTCCCAGACTGGTACACACACCCACACAAAAGTCAGTTCCACTGTATGTTGGTTTAAAAATCAAACAGTAGAAGCTAAGAGTGCAAGTTGGAACTTGCACCAATGATTATTCCCATGTACTTTCAATGATATCAGTATTTTCAAAGTCCTCATTATAGCAGAATTCCTTAAAGTGCCCAATACCAGTTATCCATTTTCTTCAGTTATACAAATTTGATTTATTCACAGGGAAAAAATAATGTAGGAGTCAGACATGGATTGGAATAGGAAATGGCAACACACTCCAGAATTGTTGCCTTGGGAATCCTGTGGACAGAGGAGCCTGGCAGGCTACAGTTTGTGGGTCACAAAGAATCAGACACAACTGAGTGAACCCAAGACATGGATGCTTATTACTACTGCTTCTAAATAACATTTTGATGGGAAGATCAAAAAACAGAAGACAGAAGGATTGGAAGGGAAGAAAGCAAATCATCATCATTTGCAAGTCGGGGGGAGGGAGGCTAAGAAACACACAGTAAAGGGGGTGCACCCCCTCCTCGGCGCAGATGTTCTGGACCAAGGCTGACCTGAGCCAGGAAAGAGGGCATCTGTGGATGACCTCTGGACCCTTGTGATGAACAGGATGAAAGACTTTACTACTTATAAAACAGGTTATTGTTTTAGCACCAAAACTGACTAAGCTGTGAGAACTGCCAGACCATCGTCAGGAGCCAGAAGCATTGAAAACACCACATGTTATGGGGGGAAAAAAGACCAGGAAATCAGCTTGCTGATTGCTCTGAACGGGACAAGCCCATTCATCACGGTGAGGAGACCGTGAGGGGATGTGGAAGCAACAAAAGCTTGGGGCCAAGACTTGAGACCGCCCCACCCTGGACGCCTTCACTACATCCACGGTCCACCGCTGAGAGAGACAGGAGACGCCGCAACGTCCCAGCTCACAGCAAACAAAACCAGTGCCTTCCCTTCCTTCTTGGAATTTACAATCTAAGACCACTATGATGTGAGTGGCGGGTGAGTCTCAGATCCTAGATCTTCTGCATTAAAACCGAGACCTGTAGAAGCAAAAGGGTAAGTGCACTTGGCAGAAGGAGCGTGCGAATAAGGGAAGAAAATGACGTGAGAGAATGAGACGACCTTGACATGGGACTGAACAGGGAGCCAGGATGCTGTGGAAGCTGCAGGTGAGGGAATGAGGTGAGTTAACTGGTCTGCGTGATGAAAGACAACTTTTTTCTCCCTCTGGCCAGAGTTACTTGACTATGTGCATCAACCGGCACTTGTATGAGATTTTCTTTCTGAGTAATCCTGTACCTTGGCAAGCATGTGAAACATAGTTTTTGTAACTTAAGAAAAAACATTGCTGGTATCTGTCAGCTGCAATCAGAACAACCCTAAACTGTGCTTTGAAGAGAATCTGTTTTCTGATTTCACGAAAGCCGCCGCGCTTTATCAGCGGGCTCACTTTCATTGTCGTTTGATGTTTTCCTTTATTAACAATCATGCATTTTAGCAGGGACTCACACAGATGTTAGTCCACCCATGTTCGCAGCAGTATTATTCACGACAGCCATTGATTCGTGGAATCAATTCAGGTGTCTGTGGAGAGATGAATGGACAAGCAAAATGTGGGCTAGCCATCCAACAGAACATGACTCGGTCATGACACCTGCTGCAACATGGATGATCCTTGAAGACATTACACTCAGCGAAATTCACCAGCCACAAAAGGAAAGATGCTGCAGGATTCCATCTATAGGGTACCTGGAGTAGTCAAACTCTTAGAGACAGAATGTAGAACAGTGGTTGCCAGGGGCTGGGGACAGGGAGGAATGGGGTTTTATTGTTTAATGGGGACAGAGTTTCAGATTAGGAAAATAAAAAGTTCTACAGATGGTTAGTGGTATTGTTTGCACAACAAAATGAGTGTCCTTAATGCTATTGAACTATACACTCAAAAATCACTAAAATGGTAAATTTTAATGTTCTATATATTTTATCATACAAAAAAATTTGTTTCCAATTGAGAATTATATACATTTCAGGTTAATTTATCCTTTCACGTACTGGTTGCTTCTAAGTGTCAGCCATCAGGAATAAAGCTGCCGTAAACATCCACATGCAGATTTCTGTGTGGAAATAAATCCTTTGGGTCAACACCAAGAAGCGCAACTGCTGGACCATGTGGTCAGAATATGTTTACTCTTGTAAGACACTGCTAAACTATCATGCGAGTGGATGGAACTGCTTTGTGTCTCCGCCAGCAGTGCACGAGAGCGCCCATTATCCCGCATCCTCACCAGCACTGGGTTTTGTCAGTGTTTCGGGTTTTGGCCATTCTTGTAGGCGTGTAGTGATATCTCACTGTTGTTTTAGCTTGCAGTCCCCTGAGGACATGTGATGATGAGTGAATTTTTTTTAGTGAGGTTTGTGAGCACATGATTGAATGACACGAAAACTCAAGATGTTTGTCGAATGTGATTTAATTTTCTTTTGGATAGCTCATGAGAAGCAGGAGAATACTCATCACTGGGAAAGCTAAATCTGTCAGGCTTCCATGCAGTTAACTTAGGGCCGAGGGTTATCTTTACGCTCCCTTAGCTGGGGGACGGCACCGCGCTTCCAGTCTCGGGTCACCACAGGCCTCAGCGGGCCCTTCAGGCCTCTCAGCCACGCTTCCAGGACGACGGCCCATCCTCGCCCCACAGCTGCATCCAGCCCCACCGCACGGCGCTGAGAGCTGTCTTCTCGGGCAAGGAAGCCGACTGCCGCGCTCTGGGTCCCCGGGCCCCCGGACGGCTCCGTGCTGGGCCGCCCCGTGCCCTCTGACATAGGGCCCCCACCCCTCCCACCCCCTCCCCCCCCGTCTGCACCTCCGAGTCCTACCCCTGGGGCCCCGAGACCTCCCTCACTGCTGGTGGCCCCTGCCCAGCTGTCACGACTCCCCTCCAGGACGGCCCCTCAGGGCCTCACCCGACGCCCTTCCCCTGGCTCCACCTGCCCGTGTCTGAATGCCGAGCACATGCGTGTCTCACAGACCTGCTTCTCCCTGACTGGGAAGAGCAGTGTCTCCTCCTCTTGAATTCCTTGGCATCCAGCCCGCTGCCCCAAGGAGCTGAAAGCTGTCTGAGGTTAAGGCTGGGAGACGCTGTCTGGGCTGCAGGCTCAGGGCGTACAGCCTCCTGGATGCAGTCACACGGTCTTTTCTTTCACGAGGCCACCCCGTCTGTCAGCGCTTGGAGAGCCAAGGTTCACGGCGGGGAGGGGAACGGGGTGATGGACAACACCACGGTTTCTCATAGGCTGACACCCAATAACCTGCTGAGAAGACCCTGATTCCAGAACCATCGGTATTTTCAGGATGCGTATTTGGCGCAGCAGCAGCAGCTGAGGTTTCAGGCTCTCCCGACTTCAGGGGCCCGGACCCCCCAGAGCCGACGGCCTTCTCCTTTCACCTGCTGGTGACGGAGACCCACCAACAGGACCCAGCTCCACGCTCGCCAAGCAGCTGGAGCTGCAGATGATTCCGGCACAGTTTACTTTCAGCACGTTCCACGCGGCGCAGCTTGTCATGTGCCGAAAGGGAAGTATTCTGGCACGTCACCCTTTCCTAAGAGCCCTGGGGTAGGAGTCCCAAGGCCAAATCTCAGGATGCATTCTTTCCGAGAGAAGCTCTCACAGGAACGGAATGGGCTTGATCCCCTCTTTCCCGCGAGTTCCGTGATGACTGCCCCGCCCCTCGGGGCATGGGCTGGAGCAAGGGCGTCCATGGACAGGGAGGAGGTGTGATCACCCCCATCTCGCCTCTCGCACTGGCAGGAAATCCCCACTAGCAGCTGTGTCTCCAACCGAAACGAAAATGCAAGAAAGGAGGCCAAAAATGGTTGGAAAGCTCCTCAAGTTTGTCCCAAACAGTGCAGTGCAAGTGTGTGGGTGGGCAGGAGACCCCAGGGGCTTTACACACCAAGGCAAACCCTGCAAGGAACACGGCGATGCGTCCTATGTGAAGATTTCAGGCCAAACTCAATACACAGCAAAGGCATCAGCAGAACAGCACAGCAAAGGCTGCAGAGGGAGGTGGTAGAGTCTCCTCTTCAGCACCGCACAGGAAATCGTGCCGCGAGCGTGCAGGTCTCCAGCTCATGGACTTAACCACTATCACTGGTGCCCCAGACCGCAGGGCAAGGAGCCGCACTCAGGGCCCTGAAAGTGCATTTTCCTCATGAAGAGCCATCCAAAGAGCCATCCAGAAGTGGCCCCACAGATTCTGTCGTAATTCTTTCCTGTCCTGCAGTTTGGTCCTTTTGTGATAGAACCGCATTTCAGGCCAAGCTAGGGATGAACTAAAATCTTATTCTTACAGTTTTGCAAAAGGCTGGTAAAGCAGATAAATATCTGAAATGTTCTTGGCCGGAGGCAGGATACGTCAATAAATGATTGTGAGATGTACAAACACTTCATCCGCTGACTCCCAAAGTGGGCAATTCCAACATGGAAACAGGAATTAGAAAATCACACCTAGGACTTCCCTGGTGATACAGTGCATAAGAATCCATCTGTGGATGCAGGGCCATGAGCTCAGTCCCTGGTCTGGAAGATTCCACATGCCTCGGGGCAGCTAAGCCCATATGCCACAAATATTGGACCTGCATGCTGCCACCACTGAAGCACACGCTTCTGGAGCCCGTGGTCCACACAAGGGAAGCCGCCCCACGAGATGCCTGGGCGCTGCAAGGCAGGCGGCCCTGCACGCCACAACCAGAGAAAGCCTCACGCAGCAGTGAAGGCCCAGTGCAGCCAAATATGAATCCATAAATATTGGTTTAGAAAAAGAATATCACACCTAGAAGCAGGTAAGTTGGCCAGCAACCCTGTTAGTCCCACTAACAGATAATAGATTTTTTTTTTTTAAGTCTATTACTCTCTTCTGTAAAGTATTAGATAACAACATTCACATGCTGCCAGGTTACTGGGAGAATTGTATGAGTTAATGTGTGGGAACATATCAAGTATTATGCACTCTGAGGTCTATTTGTTGTTGTCAAAGTCCTTTTAGGAAAAAAAATACTTTAATAAGCTCATAAAAATGTAGTAGCGAAAGTCGCTCAGTCGAGTCATTTATGAAAAGTGAAAGTCGCTCAGTTGTGTCCGACTCTTTGCAACCCCATGGACTATATAGTCCATGGAATTCTCCAGGCCAGAATACTGGAGTGGGTAGCCTGTCCCTTCTCCAGGGGATCTTCCCAACTCAGGGATTGAACCCAGGTCTCCTGTATTGCAGGTGGATTCTTTACCAGCTGAGCCACAATGGAAGCCCCAGAATGTAGTAGAATTAAGCACTCAGTTCAGTTCAGTTCAGTCACTCAGTCATGTTCAATTCTGCGACCCCATGGATGCCAGGTTTCTCTGTCCATCACCAACTCCCAGAATTGAGCACTAATAAACCTATATATCTAGTACAATAACAGCCAAAACTGTAGAATTTTACTCTTTCTTCCAGGAAAGGCCTATAAACAAAATATTCATACTCTGTTCTCAGCGACAAGTTCAACTGTCAGTAGATGAGTTCAGAACCCAGAAGATATGTTCAAACATATTCCTAACCTCATGACGTGTCTGGATCTCTCCATTTAGCCTAGGGAAATCAGAAAGATATACTTCTGTGTTAAAAGCACTTTCTCAAGAAAAATTCCACAGGGAGCTCAAAGTTTTCTGATCTTTCAGAGGAAAAGCTTAGATGCATATTCCACTCAATTTTTAGCAGTTCTTTAAGCACCTCCTGTGACTAAGGTACCCGATTAGATGCTGGACCCTCAAGTAGCCTCTGGTGTAATGGACATTAAATGAATACATACAGTGCCGTCTAACTGCAGAGGTAAAACAGACACACCCTGGTTACATGGGCCACCTGTCAGCTTGCTTTAGTGCTGCCTGAGTGTGGGCACAGGGCCCTGCGACCTGGGTCCCTTTCTTTGGCTGAAAGGACTTCTTGCCTCGTCTGGTTATAAAGAGCCACGCTTCTGTCTCCTTCAAGACAAAGGAAAACCAACTTGTGCGTTTCTCGTGAACAGAGCGTGACTGGCGGGATCACTGCCCTCAAGCCTGTTCTCATGTTATGACTTCAGTTTTCATAGTTTGGGTAAGGGAGTAGGGGAAAGCAGCTCTTGGACTTCATTCGTTGTTTTTTTTTAAGGAGTCAGACACTATTCGGATCAACTGGAAGTGAAGCCCACACTGGGCCAAGCCACTCCCAGCGCAGCTCTGCCTGCACCTGACCCTGACCTGCAGGGCCCCCGCCAAGCCCCCTCAGGCTGCCGGGCGCTGGGAGTTCCTGCTGGTGTGCCCGGCAGGCAGGACTCAGGGGAGAGGAGACCAGACTCGTCTTTCCTTTTTGGTTAAGCCAAAGCTTCGTGTTTTATTGTTTGTGTGGTTATTTGTTTAGTTGCCTGCTGCTCCAGGGGAATATCTAGCACCAAGGGTACGGCTGGCCTGTGAGGCACCGTCATGTGACTCCCCAGAAAAGCCCCCTTTGCACAGGTCACTTAAAAAGGCACCCCCTCTGGTCAGATGGAGGCCCCAGGACAAGGGTCCGGTGGTCTGAGCTCTGGTGACCCCAGCCCCATCCAACCCACCTTGGCTTCGTGCAGTGCGCAGACTGCACAACAGTGTGGCAGCCGGCTTGGGTTCTGCACTTCAGGCTCTAGAGAGAACCATCACTTCTGTGTTCAAACAACACTCATGTACATCAACTAAATTTCCATTTAAAGAATGCTGAATGTTTAAATGCTCTCTTTACTGGGGGATTATCCTTTTCTTTCTTTGGTATACTTTTCTTTATAAAATGCCCAAAGAAGTAGTATTAAAAATGTATTTTAAAAACTTACTTAAGTAGAACTTACCTTGAAAATCCTAATGTTAGTTTTGATTTCATGTTCTGCTTTTCCCTGTGGTTTTCATTCCTAGATTTTAAAGGATACGTGTTAACACTTCTTTATCTGAATCTTCTTCCTATCCTTGTCGCATTCCATAAAATTCCTGGGAAAGACAATCAGCTTTACATCATCAAAGATATTTTAAAGGATTTTACAGGATGCCTCCTTTGCTTCACGACTGTTTTGAAAGAAGAGACGGAGTTCTGACACAGCGGCCTAGAGAAAAATCCCCATGGGGTTCTTCTGGTGGGTGGGTTTCACTGGTGGCTCAGTGGTGAAGAATCTGCCTACCAATGCAGGAGATGTGGGTTTGATCCCTGGGTCGGGAAGGTCCCCTGGAGAAGGGCATGGCAACCCACTCCAGTATTTTTGCCTGGTAAATCCCAGGGACAGAGGAGCCTGGCAGGCTACAGTCCATGGGGTCACAAACAGCTGGACAAAAACAAGAAGGAACTAGAACAGGCACTACCGCGACCAGGAGAGTGAACCCAAATGCCAAGTGTCTATTGCATTAGGGAATAGTTGTGGTGTACCCAAAGTGTTCCTTAGGGCTGAACATTTAATTGGATGTTTCATAATTCCTGGAGACTCCACCAGTGAGCCATGAAACTCAGAGTGAAACCAGAGAGTTGCAGAACAGACAACATTAAGAAGTCAGTTTCTCAGGGGTAATTACAGGATGCTTCTTCATAAGGGTGAAAACAATTCTCTTAGCTCCTCGCTGCGGGTGGGTGGGGAATAGGTGAAATTCAGGCGCACGCAGCACAGTCAGGTGGGGTCTGACCTACCAGGACGCACTGCCTGTACAACAGGCGGTGAATAAGCTTTTGTTGAACTTCTGGGGCGGGGCGGCTTTCATGGGCCTTCAGCTGTGACAGATGACCCGCCCAGGACCCTGTCTCTTTAGGGGAGAAACGCTTTCAGGGAGCCCAGAGCAGCTGGGGTGGGGTAGGGGCGGGCTGGCAAGAACCAAGAACAGTTCTGCAGGCCAGGGGCTCCTGCCCATTCTATGTAAACCACTGCCGCTGGACGTTGAAGCTTGCTCCCCAAAGGCCGCCGCAAATACACATACACACAGACTTAGAGACACAGTCAGGGAACACTTTCTTCTCGACTGGGTAAGGGAATTGTTTAGAGAGTGCGGTGCTTTTTCACCCCAGGAAAAGCGGTCCTGGAGTTCTGGGCAGCCTTGGGGGGCGGCCGTGGGATTCAGGAGCTGCCTGGGAAGGGTGGGCGGGGGTCTCCACGACCTTCGCAGACTGTGCTGGACTCCCGATTCGGAACCTCACCCCGGGGAGTGCTCGGAGGAGACCCAAGTAGAGGGGACGGAGGAGTCTAGTAGACGTAAAAGTGGGTGCAGCCACAGCAACCAGGGACCTAAGAGGTGGGGGAATCCGTAAAAAGAACAGTCGCCCGGAGAAGGGGAAGGGGACAGCGTCTGTCTGAATTACAGTTGTGCGGACAGAGGAGCCGGGAGTCTAAACTCTGGAGAGCCTGAATTCTGCTCAAGAAGGGACCGGTCTTCTTGGGGAAAAGGTGCAAAGAAAAAAAGTGGAAATGGTGGCGGGGTGCGGCGCGCAGAGCAGGGCGCGCGGATACCCCGTGGCCCCCCGGTGCTCGGGCCAGCGCGGCTTGTGCCCACAGGGCTCCCCACCCCAACCCACCCCGCTGACGGCCGGGCGCCGGCCACCCGGCGGCCTCCCCTCCCTCCCCTCGCGCTGCCTTTCCCCCGCGCCCCCTCCCCCGCCGGGCGGTGGAGCCGCGGAGCCCGGACGCGAGCGTGGGGCGCAGGCGGCTTGGGGCGGGCTCGGCGGGCTCGGCGGGCGGGCCATGGCGCGGGCGGCGGGCGCGCGGGGCCGGCCCGGGCGCTGCGGGCTGGGCGGGCGCTGCGGGCGCCGCGCGCTGTTGGCCTGCGTCGCGTGGACCGCGGGCTGGGTGCTGGCGGCCACGCTGCTGCTCCGCGCGCACCCGGGCGTCCCCTCCGAGCGCTGCAGCGACGAGAAGAGCCGGCGCATCCTGGCCGCGCTGGTAGGTGCTGTGGCCGCACTGTCCCGCGCCGCGCGCCCCGGGGCCGGGGTGGGGCGCCCTCTGAAGGTCCTGGGAGCCGGGGACTCGGGCGCGGCCGTGGATCCACTGGGAGGGGGTCCGGACACCGGGCGTGGAATGCCCGACACGTCCCACCCGGTCTCCAGCCCGGGACTCTGTCCGCGAGTCCTCTGAGCGCCTGGGGGGACGTCTTCCCCCATGTCGCCCAACTGGTCCTTTGTCCAAAGATGCTTTTCCTGTCCGACTGTTCTCCCGCAGGCCCCGAGACCCCGCTCCTAAGCAAAGTTTACGGGTCCGCTCCCAGCCTTCTGACTCGGACCGCGGCCCTAGGGTCGGGCGGGGACCACGCCTCGGCCCCTGGGGTCCCGGTTCTCTCTCTCAGCCGCCGTTCTGTGATTCCGATCTGGGCTGCACCTCGCCGAGCCCCCCGCAGACGGCCAGTGGGGCCCCTTCCTCCGCGCGCCGCAGAGCCAAGGCTCTCTCCGGCGCGGTCTGCGGGACCCAAGGCTGAGCGCGGTCCGGCGAGCGGAGCGCGAGGGAGGCGGCTCGGACCCCCGTAGACCTCGGTGCTGGGGTCCGGCCTGCCGTCAGCTAAGAGGCGAGGGCGGGGGCGCCCCTTAGACAAGACCCTCAATTAGGGAGAGAAAGAAACGCCCCCGCTGGCGGGCCGCAGAGCGCACCAGCCCGGTTGCGCTCTTGGTTGATTCCAAACGTTGGCTCCTCATTGGTTTCTCTGGTTGGGAAGATTAAGCGCATTAGGAGACTTGGATAAAACTACGAATCCCTAGAAGGAACGCCAAAAAAGGTGAAGGTAACAGGCAGCTATTGTTGTATTGATTGATTATTCACTTCCCAGAACAGTAACCTGTTCTGGTGGGAAAAGGGATCTATTTTCTAAGAAATCTTCAAGAAACGCACGGGAAGCTTTCAGCCCAGTTGTTTGCATATGGGTGAGCCTTTGGGCACTGCAGGATTTCAAAACGTGGCAGCATAAAGGCTTTGAAGTAATTTTTAAAATTTTATTTATGGTTATTCCAGGTCTTAGTTGCAGCATGCAGGACTGTTTTTCTTTCTTTTAGAAAACAGCAGCAGCTTTATTTCAGGACATAATCACCTGTTATGCAGGATCTTTAGTTGCTTGGCAGGTGAACTCCTAGTTGAGGCTTGTGGGATCTAGTTCCCTGACCAGGGATCAAACCCAGGGCCCCTGCATCGGGAGTGCAGCGTCTTAGCCACTGGACCACCAGGGAAGTCCTGAAGTAAATGGCTTTTTAAAAGTGAAATTGTAAAAACTAAAGAAATGAGGTGAAATAGGCAGGCTGAACTGAATCATTTTCCCTGATTGAGCCTGACATGTCATCATGAATGGATCATCTCACATTGGTGAGAGGTGAGATACTCACTGATTCCCTCCATCCTACCTATCAATAATCTATCATCTATCAAACTATCTGTTCACCTTTACACTGGCATTCTATCAAGTTTTCTTTAAGTTGCAAGAGCTCCTCAGTTTTCTCAGTAACTCATCTAAAAATTCCTTTAACTGGTAAAGATTTTCCCCCCTCCTTTTTGGAGAGACAGATTGACTAATTACAGTAAAAAATTAATAGTCTAGCCAGGATGGAACACTCATTTACAAAAACAATATAACAGCCTTTTTAGGTTAAAATAAAAAGCAAACACTCTTTTCATTTCTTTATGTTTGGTTAAGTGAGAGAAGGCCTAATGGAAATTAAATAGCCTACTATAATTTTAGTAATTACTAATTGTTAACTTTCCCAGCATTTCGGCTCATAAATTAAAACCAATTCTGTTTGGAGGCTAAACCAGTATACCTCCTGTGGCAGCCAGATGGGTCTTTTTTAGTCCAAAGAGATGCATAATGAGAGGGTAACAGGTAGGAAGGCCAGAGGGTCCCAAGTGGTAGGAGGAAATAAACTGCAAGTGGCAGATGTTTTTTTCCCTTCTCTGTTGAAGAAATCCATTCTGCCTAACACTAACCGTTTTCTTTTCTCAAACTTTGGGCTGATAATGGCTTAACAAACCATTATTCATGTCAATTGTTTTAAGGCCAGGGATGACACACGTGCCATCCTATCTCAAAAATGCACATTGTGGGAGCAGGGCCTGGCGAAGCTCCTGCAGCTTTGAGGTATTTCTTCTATCTGATTAAAGGCTCACTAACAGACATAAAATGCCTTGCTAAAAACTAGCAGGGGGCACTCTGCCACTTCTGATGTCTACAGCAGAAGCTTTCCCTATCTCTGTTGTACTTTAGTAAAACTTGGCTACACAAAAAGCTCCAAGTAGTCAAGCCTCGTCTCTGACCCAGGATTAAACCCTCTCCTCCGGAGGTCATGAACACATGGCTTGCAGCAGCAAGCTCTCATCTCTGCCTCTGAAGACTGGCAATCTTTCCAGCTGCCAAAAGAACTTGAAGTAGTGTGTCTGTCTGTTTGATTAAAGTTCACCTGCCCTGCTCTCAAATCAGGGGCCTGATTTGAGGGGGGCTCATTGGGAGGGGCCCCTCTGAGGCTGCTGTTCTCAGGGTCCGCCTTGCCCTGTCCCCTCTCCACCCTGGGTTTGCTGAGCGGAGCACCGGGGCTCCCTCTGGCCCAGGATGCAGGAGTTTGAACAGGACCCTGCCCTCCACGTTGGAGACTCCGCCGGGCCCTGGCTGCCATGCAGAGGCAGGCATTGTGGCACCGTGCTCTCCCAGGACTGAATTGAGCCTCTGTCTCTTGGTTCCCCCAGCCCTTTCAATTCACCCTGCCTGGCTTTTATCCTTCATAATAAACTGGCTGTTATTTTTCTCACGGCCCTCCAGACTCTCATTAGCTTTCACTCTGAGTCCCAGGACACCAAAGGAATGGCTGCAGCTGAGCCAGCGGGAGCCCCCTTTTCTGGGGCGGAGCCAAGGGCCTTGTGAACCCCTGAGCAGTTCCTGGGCCCTCCGATCACGCAGGTGACGCTGCTGGCCTGCGGCAGGCCGGAGGCTGTGAATAAAGCTGGGGGGCTGAGCCGGAGGCTGTGAATGAAGCTGGGGGGCTGAGGCCCCTGGGTGCCTGTGCCCCTGACCCACACCCCATCCCTGGAGGGGGCCCCCACACGCCACTCTCAAGAGGGAGTCTTGGAAGAGCCAACTGGAGTGCTTCCAGAGCTGATCTCGGGTCCTCCAGCTTTGGAATTTTCTAGGCAGATAGCAGCCCTCCTTTCTACTGCGGCTTTTCAGCACATCGCATATAATCAAAACATCTCTGTGAGGTTTCTATAGCCCCGCTTTCCCAGGGAACTGTGTCAGGAGGCTGTGCCGGAGCATTGGGTCCGGCCATTGGTAGGCCTGGGTTCTGTCTGCAGGCGGAGCATTTCCTGGGGTGGTGAGGATGTGGGCTGTGGAGCCGCGGATGCTCACAAGGGGCGGGCCCTGTGTTCAGTCCTTTCACACTTAATATTCCGTCTAATCTCAACCCCTGGGAGCCAAGTGCTTTTATTCTCCCATTTCACAGATGGTGAAATCGAGCCGCAGAGGGGTGAGTAACTTGTCCTGAATCACACAGTGACTGTGCCGTGGAGCCAGCACGTGACTCTGATAGTAGAGACACGGTGACGCCACTGGCTTCCCCAGCGCTGAAAACCCGAAGGAACAGCTGGGCGTGGGCTTCCCCAGCGGCTCCATTGTAAAAAGTCTGCCTGCAATGCAGGAGAGCTGGGTTTGATCCCTGGGTCGGGAAGATCCCCTGGAGAAGGGAATGGCAATCCACTCCAGTATTCTTGCCTGGAGAATCTCATGCACAGAGGAGCCTGGTGGGTTATAGTCCATGGGGTTGCAGAAGAGATGGATGCTACCTAGAGGCCAAGCAACAACAACAACCCTCCCACAGCATGTCACTTTCAAAGCATCTCAGAAAGATTCCCACAGACTCTGTTATTCAGAAGGTTTTAAGTCTCTTTTGGCTAGTTAGGTCTTGATGTACTTTCATTTAGTTGCCTGCATGTGGGCTTTCTTTTCAACAGGACTGGCTTATCTGTCTTTGCTCTGATAGAAACCCTGGCCCAGCGGGACTGCGGCATCCAGGGCACTCACCAAGAAAGATCATGTCTCAGGGGCTGAGCCTGCTTCCCTGAGCACTCTGGCCATGTCTGTAATGTCTGTCTTCTAAGCTGTCAGGGGTCAAGAAGGGTTGCAGAGTGGCCTGGCTAATTGCACAGCATAACTGTTCCGTTGGGGAAATCCACTGTGAGAGATGAATGCTACGAACCACATAGGAACTTGATGCTCCTGAAAAACAAGAAAGCAAACACACAAAAGAAAACCCAGCCCTTAGGTGTGACCTCTGAGAACTCTCTCTGTCACCGGTTTCTCAGACTAGAGAGGACAGGTTTTGTTTTTGCCTGAGAACCGTGATACAAGCTGGAGAGCTTCTACTATCCACCACCAAAACAACGCTTCCCACAAGAACTGGGGCTGTTAGGAGTATGCATTCTCACAGTTGTACACAATCTATAAGAAATATGGGCTTCCCTGGCGGCTCAGATGGTAAAGAATCTGCCTGCAACCTAGGAAACCCAGGTTTGATCCTGGGTCAGGAAGATCCCCTGGAGAAGGGAATGGCTACCCTCTCCAGTATTCTTACCTGGAAAATTCCATGAACAGAGGAGCCTGGCAGGCTACAGTCCACAGGGCCACAAGAGTTGGACACAACTGGGTGACTAACACTATAAAAAATACGAATTCACTGTTTCATTAATTAAAAAGAAAATGCCAGTTAACTACAATGAGACTTTATTAACTTGTTTTTTTTCCTAGCTTATCTTAAAATCTGATACCTGCAGATTTTGTGTGCATGCACATTTGGGTACAGAAGTGTACCTGTCCAAGCTGGTTCTTAGGGCCTCCATTTATTCAGAGGAAAGTGATTTTTTTTTAAATGGAGTTAAAGTATATAAAGTACTTCTATTGAGTTAAAATATTAGCTATCTCAGTAGGGCATGCTGCTAAGAAAATAATTTCTCTTGTCTCTAACATGATGACCGTTTTTAGTTAGCCTGTAAACTTGTAATCTGTAAGTTTACTGTTTTTTAAGTGCTAAGCTCAGTCTTTCTCTGGGTTTAGTAAGCACAGGCATGCATCCTGATGCTACAGACTCGCTGAACACTGGTAACCACATGGGCCACAGAAGAGATGAATCTTACATTCTGCTTCTGAAGAGTGGGACTGATGTGCCAAAAATACCTCATCATGAAGGAGGAAGACACAGAGTAGCTCTGTACTACTTCGTGAACACCTTGCTTTAGTGTAGACTCTCTCCTACGACAAAAGAGGGAGAAACCCAGTTCATCACCTCTAGTAGCTGGCGGACCAGGCAGGGTTCTAGGCACCCCGCCCAGCCTCTTCCCTTCCTGATTCAGAGCATCCCCCAAGCATCTGGGAGGCAGGCTTACACCCCAACGTGCTGATCTTCAGAAAAACAGCCAAAATTAACGTTCCCCTCCCGAAATCAGTAGCTGTTATCATTGTTCAGCCACTCAGTCACATTCGACTCTCTGCCACCCCATGGACTGCAGCACACCAGGCCTCCCTGTCCATCACCATCTCCTGGAGTTTGCTCAAAGTCATGTCCTTTGAGTTGGTGATGCCATCATCACCGGTAGACTACATGTCACATTTCCTGCAACCCTTGTGTGGAATTGCCTTCTAAATGTGCAGGGGTGAATCTCATATAGATTCTATTTGAATTTGATTTCATGGACGTGGTACAGTTTTGTCAAAAACACAGTGCTGTGGGGAGCCAGTGGGGCGGGGATGGCACAGAGACTCGGGGTGGGGGGCTTACTGGATGGAACGCGGGGTGGAGTAGGGGCAAGGGCTCCCAGCGGCAGGTGAGGCAGCCTCCTGGGCAAGGTGAAGTTGACTCTTGCAGGGGGGAGGCATTTTGTCAGCTGTGGCCTTTTGGCAGGACACACACTGGCACTTGCTCTAACCTTGCCCTCCACTCCCCTGAACCGTGTGGTCCTCCGAACACACGAGCGACTGCACGTCTGGGTCCCTGTGCAGGTGCTTCCCTGAGCTCTCCCTCCTCCTGCGCTAGGCAGACTTGCAGCTTACCTTTCAACACTGGGCTCAGGTGTATCCCCCAGAAAGACGCATCCCCGGTCCCTTGCCTTCTAATGACCAGGGCCAGAAAGGGCAGGCGGGAGCTATTACAACACTCATGCAAACTGCCAGGGCTTCTGCACCCGTGACCTTTGTTGACCTTCACAGGTCTCCCATGACACAGCGTCATCCTCCCACATTACAGACTTGGAAACGAGCCACATGCCAGCCCCAGGTGCAGCTGGGAGGCAAAACTGCTCTGCCCTGGAGCCGAGCCTGGCCACTTTCCTTTAGTGCTTCACCCTGCTGTCATTTGGGAGTCCTGGAGGCAGTCACCTCGCTGTGACTCCTGAGCCTGGGTCTGTCACCAGATCGTGGCCCAGCTCATACACAGCACTGCTAACTGGAGGATGGCCAGGGGCGGCCAAAGCAGCTTGCCTACGGCCACTCCCTGCCACAGGTATCTCTCACGGGCAGTGACAATTTTGTTCATGGTTCCAGATGCAGAGAGTGAAGGCCCCAGCGGTCACACCTGATCTTCCGGGCTTCCACTCGCAGCGCCGTGGCTGGGCCAGGCCACGTGTGTCTCCTCCCCCATGTCCTGCCCCACCCCACCCCCCTACAGGATTCTGACGGTCAGGACCCACCTCCTCCTGCCCATCTCGGTTCTATCACCCACTTTTCTTTCTTTTTCACAGTTCTGCTCTCTCCCTCATAGAAAAGCACCTTTGATGACACTACAACTTTGATAACACCCTAAAGATGACTATGGGATTGCATTAAACCATTTTGGATCTACTCAAAGGGGATGGGGGCCTTATAAGGCAATCGAGAAGAAAAAAATATTGCCTTTTCTTATCAGGCTTATTACAGAGGTATGAAACTGTAAACACTAGATAAAGTAGGAAGAAGCTGCAATGAGTAACATGAACACCCCGTATTATTTCTGTCATTCACGTCTTTCTACTCCTGAGACTCTCCATCCCCACTTTTCATCCCCACTTTGCATGCATTCTCAGTCACTTCAGTTGTGTCCAACACTTTGTGACCCCATGGACTGTAGCCTGTAAGGCTCCTCTGTCCATGGGACTTTCCAGGCAAGTATACTGGAGTGGGTTGCCATGCCCTCCTCCAGGGGGTCTTTCTGACCCAGAGATTGACCCGCGTCTCCTGCATCTTTGGCATCCCAGGCAGATTCTTTATTGCTGAGCCACCAGGGCAGCTCCATCCCCAGCTTCCAAGATTATCCTGAAAGGGCTCAGAGGAGCTGGAATGGGCGGGTGCTTTCCTGCAAGGCACCGCAATATGGAAGCGATTCCAAGCAGAGAGAGTCTGCCATTCACAGGGTCTTGATCCTAAGCTGCTCCTTTCAGGACCCCAAACCTGGAAAGAGGGACCAGGATGAAGAGTAAAAGGCAGGCATTTCACCAAAGTTGTGTTACATTAAATTGCAAGATGAACACTGCATTACGCATATTTAGAGCAGTTTCATGGGTGTTTATGAATACAGCTGCATTACGGCTGTTGGTGTCCCAAAGACAAAAAAACCAGCTCCAGGCAAACAGGGTGGCGTTGTTCCCAAGCTCCAGGGTCAGGACTCCACCACTTGCACCTTTGAGTCTGGCAAGTGTGACACCTCCACCACCTAATACAGTCTTCGGAGATCTAATGCTGGGCAGAGGAGCATCAGCTTGCAGGAGCGCCCTCAGTAGGGGGTCAGGTCAGATAGCGTGACTTGGGCCTTTTGGACTGTTGTCCAGTTACTGCATGAAAGGGTTCCTAAAATCCAGATACTTGTTTTAAGAACCAGGAGTATAGCTTTTTAATAAACATTTTGGTCATATGCTTTGGACAGTTCTCTGAGTATTTACAAAGATCCATCATCCCTTGGCCAATGCTCTGAAGCCAGGCCTGTTTTGGAATTCACACTGTTTTGGGTGTTAGATAATATGCAGTATATATATTTATACCTTCTGGTGAACATGAGGATATGCCAGGAATCAAACAGATCCAATTAATTAATAATTCTGCATCCAAGTATATGCAAAGTCACAGGTCAAATACATTCAGACTGTAGATAGCCTCATCTTCTGGGTGGGGTTTGACACTCCATGAGAGTGAATGAGTCATGAAAAAGTTGTTTTCAGGGTCTTTTGGACTTTGGGATTATTCACATATCCAGGCATTTTGACTTGAAGGATTTGTTTATAATCCACTTGGGTTAATAAAGCCAAGCAGCACAGAATGACCAGAAAGTCTATGTGACCCGCCTTTGCCCATGTGGAAGGAAGATGCGTTGTGGGGAACAGGTGGGCTCAGAAAATATGCTCAACCCCTCATAAAAGTGGGTCCAGAGGTTTAGGTTTCCTGAAAAAGATAAAAAAAAAAGAGAGAGAACAGAGTCACACGTCCTCCTTTGAATCAGTCTCACGCCAGCTTCTCCGGCTCCTCTACTAGGTCTGAAGGGCAGGGCCTGGATGGACCATCTTCTTAGGAGAGGTGTTTGCAGTGTGGTGGGATTGGGGGTCACCAGTCCCCCATGGGACAGGAGGGCCTGTGAGCCCCAAAGCTTAGGAGAAACTCCCCTCCTGAGGGCTCCTGAGTGCCTTCCTCACCACCACCAGGAATCCAGCACCACCTGCTTGCAGGATTCACCCCGCGTCCTCCCTGGCAGGCCTGCTGATGCTGCCAGCCTCCAGGCCAGTTCTAAGACCTGCTTCCTGCCGCAGGCGCTGTGGAGCGGTCCCACCTGAAGGGTGGTTCCTGGGGTCGCTCTCCAGGGCTGGCTGTGCTGTTCTTGGCTCGGGGCTATTAAAAGCTCTCCAGGTGACCCAACGTGAGCCCAAGAACGGGGAACAACTGGCCTGGCTCTGTCCTTCCACTGATGGTCCAGGACACCTAGCCGAGAGGCAGACGGCCTTTGCCAGCATCAGCCAGCTCCGCAGAAAGGATGGGGCGGGGGCAGGTCAGTGGGGGGCACCTGCTTCCTAAGACCTGGTCCTGGGCCTGATGGAGAAAATAACAAACAAGATTCTATCACAAACCTTTCACTTCGTAATTCTTCTCTGCCCCGAGTAGCCCTGTGGTCCGTATGCCCGAGGGTTCTCTCCGGGCTGTCAGGAGCATCCTGGCGCAGGGCCCAGCCTCCGCGGGGTGACCCGTGCCTCTTCCTTCCAGTGCCAGGGCTACCGGGGCGGTGCGCTGGGAGGAGACCTGTGCGAGGACCTGTGCGAGGCGGGGCAGCTGCGGTACCGGCGCTGCCTGTACTACGAGCGCGGCAAGAAGGTGCTGCAAGCCGACTGGCGCGGCCGGCCCGTGGTCCTCAAGGCCAAGGAGGAGGCCTTCTCCAGCTTCCCGCCGCTCGGCCTCCTGGACGGGCAGCCCGAGGCTGGCGGTCAGGACTTGCCGGAGGCCGAGCTGCTGGTGCTGGCTGCCGGGGAGGCCCGGAGCGCGCTGGGCCTGGAGCCGGCCGAGGGCGGCCTGGGCCGGCTGGGGCTGGCGCGGCGGGGCCCGCGGCGGCGCGGCCAGCTGGCCAGCCTGTGGGCGCTGCTGCAGCAGGAGGAGTTCGTGCTGCTCAGCCTGCTCCGCGGCCGCAGCCCGCACGCCCCGCCCGTGCTGGGCTCCTGCGGCCACTTCTACGCCGTGGAACACCTGGCGGCCGGCAGCCCCGGCCACCGCGCCCTCTTCCCGCTCGGCCCGGACCGCGGGCGCCGCGGCCAGGCGCGCGCGGTCAGTGGCGTGGCGCTCAGCTTCCTGGACATGGTCCGCCACTTCGACCACGACTTTGCCCACCGCCTGCACCTCTGCGACGTCAAGCCCGAGAACTTCGCCATCCGGAGCGACTTCACGGTGAGGGGAGGCCGGGGGAGGCTCTGGACCTCGCGGGGGGCGGACTTCGGTCCGGGGGTCCTAGACCAGAGGGTGCTGAAGCCCCCCGGGAAACCCTGCGGCATGATGCCGCCTTCTGGCCTGGACAGCTCTGACCCGCCCGACCTTTGCGGGTGGTAATGAGCGCATTTAAAGGAGGAAGGCGCCTGGCTCCCAGGGAAGGGAACGGTAAGGCAAGCCGTCATAGCAGAGGCTCAGTGGGTCTTCCTCCACTGCTGCCCTGGTTTCTCCCAAGCAGTCCGTCCTTCGGGCTAATCCGGCTTCAGACGGTGAAGGATCCGCCTACAATGCGGGAGAGCCAGGTTCCATCCCTGGGTGGGAAAAATCCCAGGGAGAAGGAAATGGCAACCCACTCCAGTGTTCTCACCTGGGAAATCCCATGGACAGAGGAGCCTGGAGGGCTACAGTCCATGGGGTCACAAAAGAGTCGGAGACGACTGAGCGACTGCACTTTCAGGAGATGACGGAAGGCCGGCCTTTGCGGGCTTCGGTACAAAGGTCCAGGGGGCGGGGACACCGGTTTCCAGCCGCCCACACTGTATGACCACAGGCCACGTCTCTAGTTCTTTCTTCTGGAGAGGTTCTAGTCCGTTCCCTTCCCTGGGTAAGACTTTTTCTAGAGGAACAGATGAATCTTTGCTGCTTTACACAGGAGAACATTTGTCCCCTGATGGACACGTCAGCCTCCATGTTGCTCTTCGAGTGGCAGGTGAATTTTATGTCCCACTCCAGGCTGTGCAAAGTTTAGTCACTAAGTCCTGTCCAACTGTGGACTGTAGCCCACCAGGCTCCTCTGTGCATGGGATTTCCCAGGCAAGAATAGTGGAGTAGGTTGCCATGCTGTGCTCCAGGGCATCTTCCCAAGCCAGGAATCAAACCCGAGTCTCCTGTATTGGCAGGCAGATTCTTTACCGCTGAGCCGCCAGGGACGCCCTGACTCCAGGCAGTGGAGATGTGCAAAGAATTAACCAAGGTGCAGAAGCAGCAGGAGGACTCAGACCCCAGTGGTGGTATGTGGCCATCTGAGTTTGGAAGCCAAGCCCTCAAGGCAATTACGGATACACTCAGTGTGAGAACTAATGAGCTTGGGGACCAGCAGATGGGCCCCCCTTTGGGCCATGTTGCAGTGTTGCCCAGGTGGATGGGGGCATGTCTCCCAGGTAACCTGTGAGAGTTGATGACCCGCAGTCATTCACTTTTTTCAGGTCTTCCCTTGCAGGTCTTGAGAATTTGTCCAGTGGTTTCAAATGAACTAGGAATCCCTCTTTACTTCTTGTTCTCAAACTGCTGCCAGAAAGCACGCTTTTCAAACAGATTTCCTACTCTAGAGGCACAGTCTTAAGTAGAGAAGGAAATAATTCTCACCAGTCCTTTCCAGTCTGATGCTAGGATGGAGTATGATGATGATGCAAGTTAGGTAATTTTGTGCAGGAAGAACTTTACAATTCATTCTGATGTGATCTAAGAAGCCTCGTGCAGGTTTTTCTGCTCATTTTGTTACTGTTCTTATTGTAGGTGCATAGAGTTATGCTTCCAGTAGCTATAATCCATTCTACGGACTATACTAAAAATTGAAAAATAAATCTGGCTCTTGTTGGGAGATGAGAAGGGAACAATTAGAGCTGGAAGGTCCTGGAGGAAGCTGGAGAGATGACCAGGGATTATCAAAAGAAGAGAAGGGTCTCGCAGCTCCAAAAATAAATTATGAAAGACAGTAGACTCATTATTGGTAAAGAATCTGCCTGCAATGCAGGACACCTGGGTTTGGTCCCTGGGTCAGGCAGATCTCCTGGAGAAGGAAGTGACATCCCACTCTAGTACTCTTGCCTGGAGACTTCCATGGACAGAGGAGCCTAGAGGGATGCAGTCCATGAGGTTGCAGAGTTGGACACGACTTAGTGACTAAACCACCACTGATGTATTTTTAGTGTGTTAACCAGGATAAATAATGAAATAAGCTATTCTTTTGGCTAAATAGAGATAGAGAAAATCAATTAAAATGGTAATTTCTGTTTGTAGTCCCTGAATTAGTAATTAGGCAAAGCTCTCAAATAGGGAAAAGTTCCCTGTTCATTTTTTCCCTTATTCTCCACATATCTTGAAATAAATTATTTTCCCTCCTGTGTTTTACTGAATAATCCCCACAAAACTTTACTGCCTTCTGGCATCAATCTTGAAGGAAGAAGAGAAACAACAAGCTGGAATGTGCCTCCTGACTTTGCATAGATTTGAGGAGAAAAATGAACCCTTTTTTGAGATGCTACCAAAGGGAGAAAGCTGGTGTGTTGAGGCTGACCTGTGAAGGCTTGTGAAATGCCACAGACTCCGTCAACTCATCCAGTCTTCTAATAGCTCTTTAATACCTTGAAGCTATACATTACCTGATTTGGGCAGAGTCCAGGTTTTCTCAGGTTTGAGCTCATCTTTTTTTTTTCCCCCTAATTCAGGTGGTGGAGGAAAATCTGCATAATTTAGACGCTCTTCTTTTTTTCTGGTTTTGAAGCCTCTTTGGGTTGAAGCCAGGAAGATAAATTTGAAATTCCAGGGGGTCATCACATTTTCATGCTGATAGTGGGACTTAGTTTTTGATGCTGTTGCATCTGGGTCCATAAGTATTGATCCTAATTCGACAACTTTGGCCCTGCCACTTGCCCCTGTCAGTTGGAATCCAGTCAGCTCAAGGAACAGGCCATAAATAGACGAGGTACACGTTGTCCACCTCATTCTCCCCATCACACCCTCGCCCTGCCCCTTGAATGTAGTTTTCTTTTGTTGCTTATATTCATAGGAATAAATGACCTGTGTCTCATAGCTTTTATATTCCTGAGCCTTGAATGTCAGAAGCCAAGTGGTAAAGCAGTGGAGGGGGCGTCAGTTCATTTGTAAGAAGTTTCAGAGATTCACCGTTAAAATCTGAGAAAACATTCAGCAGTGAAGAGCGATCCTGGTTGCACATTCCCAACCCCCAGTGACCAGAGCGGTCCTCTTGCCGTTAAAGCCGTGCATCCCGGTCTGTGTCCCTGGCCTGGCCCGGCCCTCCTCGCCATGGCCGGGGTCCTGTGCCCCATCCTGAGAGCCGCGTGCTGTTTCTATCGCAGGTGGTGGCTATTGATGTGGACATGGCTTTTTTTGAACCTAAAATGAGGGAAATTCTCGAGCAAAACTGCACGAGGGATGAAGACTGCAATTTCTTTGATTGTTTTTCGAAGTGTGATCTGAGAGTGCACAGGTGCGGGGCCCAGAGAGCCAACAGTAACCTGCAGGTGAGCGGGCCGTCCTCTCCGGGGGCCTGTCCTCTCTGGGGGACCTTGTCCTCTCTGGGGGGCCCTGTCCCTCTAGGGGGGTCCCTGTCTTCTCTGGGGGTCCCTGTCCTCTCTGGGGGGCCCTGTCCCTCTTGGGGGGTCCCTGTCCTCTCTGGGGGTCCCTGTCCTCTCTGGGGGGCCCTGTCTTCTCTAGGGGATCCTGTCCTCTCGAGGGGGGCCCTGTTCTCTCTGGGGGAGGAGACCCTGTCCTCTCTGGGGGGACCCTGTCCTCTCTGGGGGGCCCTGTCCTCTCTGGGGAATCCTGTCCTCTCTGGGGGAACTCTGTCCTCTCTGGAGGGGACCCTGTCCTCTCAGGGGGACCCTGTCCTCTGTGGGGGGAACCCTGTCCTCTCTGGGGGAGGAGACCCTGTCCTCTCTGGGGGAGGGGATGGTGTTCTTTCCGGGGGGCCCTGTCCTTTCTGGGGTGAATCCTGTCCTCTCTGGGGGAACTCTGTCCTCTCTGGAGGGGACCCTGTCCTCTCAAGGGGACCCTGTCCTCTGTGGGGGGAACCCTGTCCTCTCTGGGGGAGGAGACCCTGTCCTCTCTGGGGGAGGGGATGGTGTTCTCTCCGGGGGGCCCTGTCCTCTCTGGGGTGAATCCTGTCCTCTCTGGGGGAACTCTGTCCTCTCTGGAGGGGACCCTGTCCTCTCTGTGGGGGGAACCCTGCCCTCTCTGGGGGAGGGAACCCTGCCCTCTCTGGGGGAGGAGACCCTGTCCTCTGTGGGGGGAGCCCTGTCCTCTGTGGGGGGAACCCTGCCCTCTCTGGGGGAGGGAACCCTGTCCTCTGTCAGGGGAGCCCTGTCCTCTCTGTGGGGGGAGCCCTGTCCTCTCTGGGGGAGGGAACCCTGTCCTCTCTGGGGGGGGAACCCCATCCTCTCTGGGGGAGGGAACCCTGTCCTCTGTGGGGGGAAACCTGTCCTCTGTGGGGGGAGCCCTGTCCTCTCTGGGGGAGGGACCCTGTCCTCTGTGGGGGGAGCCCTGTCCTCTGTGGGGGGAACCCCGCCCTCTCTGGGGGAGGGAACCCCGTCCTCTCTGGGGGAGGGAACCCTGTCCTCTCTGGGGGAGGGAACCCTGTCCTCTGTGGGGGAGGGAACCCTGTCCTCTCTGGGGGAGGGAACCCTGTCCTCTGTGGGGGAGGGAACCCTGCCCTCTCTGGGGGAGGGAACCGTGTCCTCTGTGGGGGAGGGAACCCTGTCCTCTGTCAGGGGAGCCCTGTCCTCTCTGGGGGGGGAACCCCGTCCTCTCTGGGGGAGGGAACCCTGTCCTCTCTGGGGGAGGGAACCCTGTCCTCTGTGGGGGGAACCTTGTCCTCTGTGGGGGGAACCCTGTCCTCTGTGGGGGAGGAACCCTGCCCTCTCTGGGGGAGGGAACCGTGTCCTCTGTGGGGGAGGGAACCCTGTCCTCTGTCAGGGGAGCCCTGTCCTCTCTGGGGAACCCTGTCCTCTCTGGGGGGGGAACCCCGTCCTCTCTGGGGGAGGAACCCTGTCCTCTCTGGGGGAGGGAACCCTGTCCTCTCTGGGGGGAGCCCTGTCCTCTGTGGGGTGAACCCTGTCCTCTCTGGGGGAGGGAGCCCTGTCCTCTCTGGGGAATCCTGTCCTCTCTGGGGGAACTCTGTCCTCTCTGGAGGGGACCCTGTCCCCTCAGGGGGAGGAGACCCTGTCCTCTCTGGGGGGGGGGGCACCGTGTTCTCTTGGGGGGACCCTGTCCTCTCTGGGGCAGGGGACCGTGTTCTCTTGGGGGGACCCTGTCCTCTCTGGGGGGCCCTGTCCTCTCTGGGGAGCCCTGTCCTCTCTGGGGGAGGGAACCCTGCCCTCTCTGGGGGAGGGACCCCGTCCTCTCTGGGGGAGGGAACCCTGCCCTCTCTGGGGGAGGGACCCTGTCCTCTCCGGGGAGCCCTGTCCTCTCCGAGGGAGGGCCCTTGTCTGAGGGGCCCTTCCCCCTCACCATGGCTCCTGCTGACGCACCTGGAGGCCGTCGCCGTCTCCCCACCACCAGGGCTCTGTGCGCCCAGTGAGGGCAGGGATGGGGGTGGGGATCGTTCATTCTTTGTCTACCTGGGAGAGGGGCTGTGGGCCAAGTGACCCCAGGGCGCTAATGGATGGTGCCCCCATCACGGCCATTACTGGGTCCCCCACAAACATGGGGGTGTCTGTTCTCTCTGGGCCCAATTTCTATATCTATACACACACATGCACACACACACACACGCACACACACAATGAGCACTTTTTTATATCAAACTAAATTCCGGATGGCTCAAATACTTGCACCTAGAAAATGAGATCCTAAATATTCCAGAAAAAACTAGGAGAATTGAAGATACCCTAAAGTTTGGAAGACCTATCTAAGCACAGAACAAAGCTCAGAGGCTATAAGAGGAAAAACTGACACATTTAACCATCTTAAAAAATCCCTTTTGCAAAAGCAAAACAAAATTACAAAAAATTCGAGTATATTTAAAAGTTAAATGAGAAAACTGGCAAACTGTCTGCAACTGCTCTCACAGATGAGGCTAGAGGACAGAGGTGGCCTTTACCCCCAGCTTCTGAGATTCAGTGTCCCCCAGGATCATCCTTGACCCACCAGACATTCTCCACTGTGGTTACCCCACATCCCAGGATCAGTCTAGTGACTGGTCAGAGGGGGCAGGGGGAGATGCAAAACCCAGCCCCCTTAACCTGTATAAGGAACAGCTCTATAGGGCATCCCACCACCATAAGTTCACCTTCTCCCTCAGTTCCATGGAAAGATGGTTCCTGAGAACCCTCAATAAATCCCTGCATGCGAACCTCCATCTTACAGTCTGCTCTGAAGGAAACCAACCTAAGCAAGGGGCCAGTGTCCTTAATATATAAGGAGCATTTACAAATCAATATGAAAAGGCCAACAACCTAACAGAAATGTGGGCAAAGTCTATCAATTTGACCAGTCACTGGAAAGGAAGAACAAATACTTTCAACCTGACTGATCAGAAGAGTGATACAAATCAGATCATTTTTCAATTGACAAAAATGAAAGACAACACACATTGTTGAGGGTGTTCTTCGTGTACATTGCCGTGAGAGTGTAACTTGGTACAACTTTTATGGGGTCAATCTGGTAATATCTACCAGAACAAAAATGTGTATACCCTTTGGCCCAGAAATTTCATTTCCAGAAGTTTAGTCATGTTCAAAATGAAAATGACATATCTGCAAGATATGCATTTTTCATAATAGCAAAAGTTAGTGAGCAACCTAAATTTCCATCAGTAGAGAACAAGCTAAATAAATTATGATATGCATTTGAGGTACAGTCATTAAAACAAATGGAATAGCTTTATAGTGATTTGGAAGGTCTCTCTGATATTTGGTTAAATGAAAGTTATAGAACAGTGTGTGTAATATACTCCTATCCATGTAAAGTAAAAGAAAAAGGAAATGCATGAAAAAATAACCCTCCAGAAGGACATTCAAGGGAGTGGGTGCCTCTCTGAGCTAAGAGCTGAGTGTCTGGTTTTTAGGAGTTGGATGGAGCTTAAGATTAAAGCCTATTTGGGGGAACATTTTCAATGTTTGCACGTGAAAATGCATTATCAATTCAAAAGAGAAATAAGATCATTTGTTTTTAAATAGAATCCTCATCCTTGCAGAGATTAGGAAATGAAAGTCAAAATTATTTGTCTCCCATAAAACAATAGATCTATAAAATTGAGGCATTTGTTAAATGAGTCCAATATAAAGTGTGATGTAGAAAAATAGAGCAGAATATTAATTATGTATGAATTGTGCTCCATCCAACAGCGAGAAAATCAGGAAGGCTGTAAAACAGCAGAACAGAATGCTTAAATTGAGAATTTAAAGAGATCTTCAGCCCCGTAAATTTCATACCCAAGGAGAATTAAAGACTGAGAGAGAGACTTCATTTTTACTTCTCCTAAAATAAAGCATCTTAAAGGCTCCTTGGGCTTCATGGGTCGGGACGATCCCCTGGAGAAGGGACAGGCTACCCACTCCAGTATTCCTGGGCTTCCCTGGTGGCTCAGATGGTAAAGAATCTGCTTACAGTGTGGGAAACCTGGGTTTGATCCCTGGGCTGGAAAGATCCCCTGGAAGAGGGCATGGCAACCTACTCCAGTATTCTTGCCTGGAGAATCCCACAGACTGAGGAGCCTGATAGGCTACAGCCCAAGGGATGGAAAAGAGTCCAGACATGACCGAGTGACTAAGCACAGCACAGCACACAAAGGCTCCTTAGAAGAAGGAGCCTCTCCCTTCCAATATGCCTTTTTATCAGGGAGCCGAAAGTGCTATCACATTCACATACCCCTTGTCACCAGTGTGTCCTGTGGCCTTGGGGACCACCTGCCAGGTGGTGATGACTGTCACTGACCAACCTTGAATGAAAAAGCGAGGCCTGTGATTGCAGGGCTGGCAGCCTAGGGCCGCCTGGGTCCTACTCCTTACACGGTGGTTCCCGGCTGTGACTTCCTGCTGCAAGCTCTTCCATGGTCTCTGAGCATCACCTGGAGCTTCCCCCTCGACATCTCTGCCCCTGTGGGGCAGCCTTCTAGTCTCCAGTAGTGCTGAGCAGGTGGGGTTCTGGGAGAGGTCCCTGGGGAGGGACAGGTGCTGGAGGCACCCCCCCCATGTCCTGAGCTGACCATCCCCCTCTCCCCCAGGTGGTCTGCGACAAGATCTTCCGCCACTGGTTCTCCTCGCCCCGTGGTAGCTCCGCGATGTCGGGCCCGCTGCGGGGGCAGCTGCAGGCAGCGGTGCAGGAGTGCGCGGCCCCCAGTGCCCAGGGCACGCCCCGCATGCTCGGGAGGCTGCGAAGCCTGCTCCAGGCTGCGCTGCGGGAGCTGCAGGACGGCGAGGAGCTGCACCCCTGGACGAGGAGCCGTCCTCGCGGGGACACTCACCGTGGGACCCCGGGCGCTGCCCGGAAGGCCCCAGCCAGCCTCGGCCATCACCCCCTCGTGTGACACGAGGGACGGGTCTGGCGCCAGGGTCTGCCCTGTGTGGGAGCAGGAGTGTCCACGGGGCCCTGCAGACTCCCAGTGCCACAGCGTGCACAGGAGTGTGCGCATGCATGTGCACAGGGTGTGCAAGTGTGCACGAGCACATGGCCATGAGAGCTGTGCAGGTGTGTGGACGTGTGTGAGCGAGTGAGTGTGAGCAGATGAGTGCCTGGGGCGTGTGCTCCTCCGGGCGGGGAAGGCGCTGTCTCTGGCAGATCCTGAAGCCTTGGGCCTCCTGAGCAGAGTCACCTTTTTTTGGAATTGAAAACATTAAAAAACACAAGTCTGGGAGCTGTAGTCTGTACTCTGAGCGTGTGGAAGCACAGTTTATTGTACTTTTCATTGTGAGAAATGCATGGCTTTCCTGGATTAAAATCAGGAGCACCTCTTACCTCAGTCCGTCCTCCCTCAGAGCAGGGCCTGCAGGCTCGGTGTGCTTGGGGGCGGGAGGCCAGGTGGTGGGTGCCCGCCGTCTCTGCTGCTCCAGTGGGGACCAGGCCGCAGACCGAACATCGGCATCTGTGGGCAGAATTGCTTCTGGTGGCTCCCGACCACCGTGCTCTGCTGCAGGAGACCAAATGGGAGGAACCGCATGCCAGCCTCTCCCTGGTCGGGCAGCTGAAGCCAGGCCAGACGTCTGTCCATCCTGGGGAGACATAGTTCTAGTCCACGTATGGGGACCGTGAGAGCTCAGCAGACAACCACAGGCCACCCTGAAGATTGATCCAGAAAGATGCCAAGAGAGGATAAGGGATTCTGTTGAAGATTTACAAATAGAAGACTAATTAATTTGAAGTTTTAAAAGGTCATTGTTGTTTAGTTGCTAAGTTGTGTCGACTCTTTTGTGACCCTGTGGACTGTAACCAGCCAGGCTTCTCTGTCCATGGGATTTTCCAGGCGAGAATACTGGAGTGGGTAGCCAGGGGATCTTCCCGACCCAGGGATCGAACCCATGTCTTCTGCATTGGCAGGTGGATTCTTTACCACTGACCCACCAGGGAAGCCCCATACTCCCATAAAAGTGTTTTTGAAAAAGAAACTAAGTTGGAATATTTGGGCTGACTTGACTTCTTTGTGGGCTTCCCAGTGGCACTAGAGGTGAAGAACCTGCCTGCTAATGCAGGAGACATAAGAGATGCAGATTGGATCCCTGGGTCGGGGAGATCCCCTGGAGGAGGGCATGACAGCCCACTCCAGTATTCTTGCCTGGAGAAGCCCATGGACAGAGGGATTATGGGCTGCCGTCCATGGGGTCACAACAGAGGCAGAAACTGAGTGAATTGGCACGCACAGCTGCTTTGCCCTTTGTTTTCTCCAGCAGAGACTGGAGAGGAGAAGAATGGTATGCACCATCCTTATCAAGCAAGAGTCAGGACAAATGGTCAATCCCAACTTTCACAATGTATTAACGCAAAAAACACACAAGTAAAGCATTTACTGAATCATTTATGAAAAGTGAAAGTGGCTCAGTCGTGTCCGACTCTTTGTGACCCCATGGACTTCTCCAGGCCAGAATACTGGAGTGGGTAGCCTTTCCCTTCTCCAGGGGATCTTCCTAACCCAGGGATTGAATCCAGGTCTCCTGCATTGCAGGCAGATTCTCTACCAGCTGAGCCACAAGGGAAACCCAAGAATACTGGAGTGGGTAGCCTAGCCCTTCTCCAGGGGACCGTCCCAACCCAGGAATCGAACCAGGGTCTCCTGCATTGCAGGCGGATTCTTTACCAGCTGAGCCATTAAGGAAGCCCCCATTTATGGAAAGGGATATACTTCCTGGAAATCACAGCTGCCTTGGCGACTGCCAGGTGGTTGGTCAGCATTTCTGGAGAACAAGGAAACACAGCACATTTGGAGAACTTTCTGGAGAAAAGCACCTTGAGAAACACTCCGCTCTTCATTTTTATGTTGTTCTAAAACAGCTTGTCATCTGGATAAGTTTTCACAAGAAGGGTGAATTTTCTCTTAACCACTTAAATTATTTTCTGTCTTTGGTCCCAGTTTTATTTTACTGCTGTATGTCAGAACATACAGATTGACCTGACGTTTGAATGATAGTAAGTATGCGCTTATTGGAAGGCTCCTGAACTTGGAGCCAGAAGCCTGGGGCTAAGGTTCTGGTTCTCATGCTAACTAATTGTGTAACTTTAGATGAGGCAATTGCCTCTGCTTCAGTTTTCTCACCTGCAAAATGTGATGTAAATGTTCCTTGGGAATCGAATGAGCTGAGTAGTCCAGAGAATTAATGCGCAGATGCAAATGTTCCCCTCTAAACTATGTGTGTTTTAATCCACTTAGCCATTTAAGTCAATCCCCTTCTGGCCCATGTTACTGAAGGGGGCTCCTCAAGGAGCAAGGACACAGCAGAAGGGGGCCGGGGGCCGGTGGGGTCTCTGGAATGGCCCTGGGTGGGGCTGGCTGGAGCAGAGCTGGGAAAGGCTCATGAATATTCCATGATGGGCGCTGAAAATGTTTCTACTTATCACTAATTTTTGAACTCCCCAAAGTCAGGTTTTCCCTCGTCTTTTCATTTTAGAACTGTAGAACCCTTTCTCTTGTGTCAAGAGTAAGGCTTGGCTCATAGAAGATACGCTGGGAGGGAGCCAAGATGCCGGAGGAATAGGACGGAGAGGCCACTTTCTCTCCTACAAATTCATCGAAAGAACATGTGAACGCTGAGCAAATTTCACAAAACAACTTCTGATCGCTAGCAGAGGACATCGGGCGCCCAGAAAAGCAGCCCATTGTCTTCAAAAGGAGGTAGGACAAAATATAAAAGATAAAAAGGGAGTCAAAAGAGCTACGGACGGAGACCCGTCCCGGGAAGGGAGTCTTAATAGAGGAAGTTTCCAATCACCAGGAAACCCTCGCACTGGCGGGACTGGGGGAAGTTTTCGGCAATCTAACTGGGAGGAAAAATTAAACAAGGCCCACAGATTACGTGCCTAAAAGCAACTCCCAGCAGAAAAGTACCCCAGATGCCCGCACCCGCCAGCAACAAGCGAGGGCGGAAAGGAGAGGAGCGGGCGGCATTGCTTAGGGTAAGGACTGGCCCGAAGACCCTGAGAGCAATCGGAGGGAGCTTTTTTAAACTGTGGGATAGCAAGGGTCAAAATTAACCGGCCTGAACACACTGCCGGCCGTTCGCAAAACAAAGGGACTGAGAAACTCCAGAGAAGAGCCGGCCCATCCCCGCTGGAGGTTGGAGGCAGGGGGGAGGGGAAAAGGGCAAACTCAGCCCCTGAGAAGCCACCCCCTCCCACACTGCAAACAGGCCCCGGTTCCCATCTAAAGACTTCCTGAGACCCGACTGGCAGCGCGCGCTGGGGCCGCAGAGGGAAAAGCGCGCCGTACCCGGGGAGAGTGCGCCCAAGCCTCTGGCTGCCTGGGCCGCTTGACGCGGAGGGAAAAGGCGCGCTGCACCCGGGGAGAGTACGCCCAAGCCTCTGGCTGCCTGGGCCGCTCGACGCGGAGGGAAAAAGCGCGCCGTACCCAGGGAGAGTGCGCCCAAGCCTCTGGCTGCCTGAGCCGCTCGCCGCGGAGGGAAAAGGCGCGCCGCACCCGGGGAGAGTGCGCCCAAGCCTCTGGCTGCTTGGGCCGCTCGCCGCGGAGGGAAAAGGCGCGCTGTACCCACGGAGATTGCGCCCAAGCCCCTGGCTGCCTGAACCGCTCAGGCCGGGGAAGGCACAAAACGCAGGCGCAACCGAATCCGCGCTTTTGTGGAGTACCCGAAAACTGGAACCGCACTCAACGCAGGGCCCGCTCCGTATAGAGCAGCCGGGAGCCTGAGCAGTGTAGACGGGGAAAGCACTGACACCCGTGAGCGGGGCAAACCCAGTGCGGCCGGAACACGGTGAGTGCTGTCCACGCAGTGCGGTATCTGTCTGCAGCGCCCCGCCCTCCCCGTAGCAGGACTGAACTGAACTAGAGAACCTAAATAAGAGATCACCTCCACCCGCCTGTGTCAGGGCGGAAATTAGACACTGAAGAGACGGCAAACAGAAGCCAAATAAACAAAGGGAACCACTTCAGAAAGGACCGGTGCAACAGATTAAAATCCCTGAAGGTAACACCGACTACACCGGAAGGGGCCTACAGATATCGAGAAGTGTAAGCTGGAAAGAGGAGCTATCTGAAATTGAACTGAACCTACACTGACCGCAACAACTCCAGAGAAATTCCTAGATATATATGTATTTTTTTTTTAATTAAAAAAAATTTTTTTTCTTTCCTTTTATTTATTTATTTTTCTCTTTTATTTTCTTTTAAAATTCCCTATTACTCCCCCATTACTCCTCAACTTTCATTTTCATATATTTTTATGATTTTTTTAAATAGGGGTAAAAAATTTTTTTTTCTTTTTCTTGTTTTTCTCTCCTATTTCCTTTTAAAGTCCTCTAATACTCCTCTATTATTCCTTAATTTTCATTTTCATTTCACTATAACCTTGCCAAAAAAAAAAAAAGAGAGAGAAACCCTATTTTTAAATCGAACTTCATATACATTTCTAAATTTTTTTTTGTGTTTTTGTTTTTGTTTTTAAATATTGTATTTCAAAGAGTCTAACCTCTACACTAGATTTTTAATCTTTGTTTTTCAGTAGTATGTGATATAAATTTTGGTCATTTAAGAATCCAATATTCAGTTCCCATTTCTATTCAGGAGTGTGGTGATTACTCTCCCACTTTTGACTCTCTGTTTTCTACCTCAGAACACCTCTATTTCCTCCTTTCCCCTTCTCTTCCCAATCCAACTCTGTGAATCT